AACCCAAGAAATAGTCTTAGCCCGTGGTGATTATAAATTGCACAACATTCTAGTGTGCGAGTGACACCTCAGACCCCACGGAAAACCAAACGCGCAACTTAAAAAAAACGCTTAGAATAACTCTGCATTGCTGCTTTGTTTACCAGAAACAAAACAAAACAAAACAAAACAAAACAAAAAAGAGAGAGAGAGGGAGAGAAGGAAAATAAAAGAAGAAAGAAAATTTTAAAAGAAAAGGAAAAAGAAAACAAGAAGGGAAAAAAAAAAGGAACCGTGAAACTTCTCGTCATTAGAGTGTTAGCCAGATTGTGATTTTTTAATTTTATTTTTTTTCCGCAGACTGATGGTTGGCATTTCTTTGTTCTACACATTTAGGAGGTGTAGTTCTACATTCTGATTTGTTGTCATACTAGAATTTATGGCAAATTTTAGGTGCTACAGTCACATTTGGCTGACTTTAAAATAGCAGAAGGATCCTATTATACTGTTCTTTGACCCTATTATATTTACGTTCTTGGAGTCTTTGTGATAGCCTCTAGCAGCTTTCTGTCTGTGTCTTCCTTGAGCAAAATACGCCCAGCAATATCTGAAAGCAGGGAACAGGGTTAGAAAGCAAGTTCTCCTTTGAAATATGCATTCCTCCCCAGCGTCATGAAAGCAAAAGGTTTATTTAATGCTTGTCAATACCCAAAGACATGGTCCAGCACTTAACAAACAATAAAAAATAATAATAATACTTTAATAATGTGGCAATCCTTGTGTGAAAATGCACGTGACCTCTTATGTTTTTCCAAAGATTTTCAAAATAATTCTCTCCATTAGTACAATCGCTGGTGGACGTTGCTGTTGCATTTCCCAACGAAACGTTTAAGAGACTGTAAATGGTGTGTGCATTACTTCATCGCAGAAGGAAGAGGTCAGCCTGAATTGCACTAGTATTTAAACATAATCATACTATGAAAATAAATCAAAACATCACGTAAAAGGAGTATTTTAAATGTTACACACATTTTCTTTCTGGAGCGACGTGGTTAAGCGCTTCCCTGCAAGCGTATATATTTTAACCAAAGTTTGCAAAAATGAAAGTATACGATTTCCAATAAATGGAAATAGGTCTACAGCGAGGCATTATTTATATTATTTTGCTCTTTCTTTTCTAATGAGGTTTATCCTTCGGCTAGACAGCTTCAAGACTGAAATACTACTGACTACAGAGTGTAGATTGCAGATTGCACGCTACTCAACGTGAAAAGGAGCACGTTTGATTGATAGTCTCTGTGTGTTTGTGTGTGTGTGTGCGCCTATACATAACTCTCTGTAGTTGCATGTATATGTGTTTGGCAAAACCGGGCATCTCTGGGTGCCCTTATCTTAAGAAATGTGAGACAAACATCCATCCCTTTAATCATGTTCATCTTTGATCACCAGCGACGGTGACACAGTCCACAGAATTAACAAAGAAACTCCCTTGCTTTTCAGAGATAGCTACATCTACATCTGGGTCTGCACACACATGCACGACATACACAGGGACACACCAACACGCAGGCACACACCCCGGGTCCCAGTAAGTAAATTATTGCGTAACTTTTCATGTAATTGATACCAGACACCTTTAATTTTTCATTTTCATTCTTTTGGCCAGCTTTCACATTAACAATCTAAGCCATAAATGTTGGTGGCTATCGATCGCAATCCCCTGTGTGCGTGCAAATCCATTTTCAAGTCCCCTGCCTTTAATGTGCGTGTGCGCGTGCAAGGGGCCTCCGCCGGCCCTTTATCAGGATCTCCCCCAGCCTGCCTGGAGGCGACCCCGGATACACAACGTGTGCTGATGGCCAAGGGAAAGCGCGCGCACACACACACACACACACACACAAAAACAACAAACGATGGAGAAGTAGAGAAACAGAGGTCTCCGTGTGAGATGCGGAGACGTGCAACCGAAAGTGTGTGTGTGAGTACACGGCGGGGCTGTGTAGGTTGGGCGCCTGACGTTTCCCCAGACTTCTGCTGGGTCTCTCCCTCTCGACATTTGGCTCTGCCTCGACCCCGCCGCCCACGGCCGCACCTTTAGGATCATCGGGGTTTGCCGAACAGCCGCCACTAGTTTAAAACGTTTGAAAGCGCCGGAATTAAACAAACAAAACCAAGGCATTTTTTAAATAGCTGCCGGGTCCCGCCGGGCTTTCACCGGCGGTCTGTGGGTGTGGGTGCCCGTGGCTGCCTGCCTGCGAGGGCACGCGTGGATGTACACGGGGATCCAGCCCAGCTCAACTACCTGGCAAATAAAAGAGTTTTCAGCCCATCGGAGGTTTTGTTAACATCTCCTGAGCAGCTTTCTCGGAGTTTGCTGCTCCTTTACTGTTGACTCCATAGCCTTAACCTTAAAGCAGGGGGAGGAGAGCAGTGAGGAGGGGGTGGGGGTGTTGGCAGCATATAAGTACATCAGGAGGAATTTTTAAACGACCTTATTGTCTCTAGCTCTAGAAAGACTACGATGATTTCTTTTTAGCGCCAGCAGCTGTTTTGTCTCGAAACTTTGCTTTCAGCCTCAGCATATACCAGGGTGCCTCTCACACGAGCCAGAAAGAGAAAGGCAAGGCTGGGGGATCCCGAGGCGAGGCGAGGGAAGGCGAACTCCGCGGATGGTCTGAGCTGTGCAGAGGCATTGTTCACTGCTGCCTCTCGGTTACGTTCAAAGCCTGAAATATCACGAGATCCACTCAATGATCCTTTTCTAATTCGAGGGACAAAATGTAATTTGCTGTAGCTCTGCTTTCTCGGATGGGAATACTATCCCTAGGTTTCAAAGGGAAGAACTAGGCATCGCGGTTCGCACACACATGGATTAAGTTGAACAGCGGCGATTACATCTGCGCTGAGAGCAACAGTAGTCCAGGGCTGACTTTTCAAATCTCAGCCCTCCGAGTTAGAGGCTCCCTTGAATGGACTTCCTCCATTCCCGGATGCACTTCTCCAAATTCCCACTTCTCTCTAGAATTCCTGAGAAATTGGGGGCTCGCCTGCATTTCGCCTTGGCATGCAAAGCTGCGTTTTTACAGAGTGATTATGCTCTTTATTTTCGCTGTACCTGACGGGGTAACACGAACTCCACGCACCATATTGCCAATACGCGGAGTGGATATTGACGTTTGGGACTGAAGGTTTTTTGGTGATTGTTGTGTTGTGGTGTTGTGTTTTTTGTTTTTGGGTTTTTTTTCCTCCGTCGATATTTTGCCAAGTCCCAGAAATATGAGATGTCTCATTAATCTCACGGATACGCCTAATCCTGGACGTGCAGTGATACACAAAAGTGCTCGTGTTTGTACCCAGCGGAACACTGGGTGCACGGCAGAGATTGGTGATTTGTTTTTTTACAGCGCCTAACGTGCACACCGCAAGCAGCATCATTTCAACGTGCCAAGGGAGAGGCACGCAGCTCTCGCAACGTTTGCGAAACCCTCGTTCTTGACGCTCGAATCATTTAACGTTCTTAAGAAGAGGTTAAACCTTCATGCTGCTTCTTCAAATTGATTTTAAGGGGCTGCTATAAATGGAACATCAAAAAGCTGCGGCAGGGCTGCTCGGAGCGGAATATGCAAACTGCGAGGCAGAAGCATCCTAGCCCGTTGCAATATCGTACATTGTGCGTGCCAGCACTTTTTTGTTATTACGTAAAGGCTCTTGGAAGCACCTTGGATATTTTACATTCTCCTTTCTCTGCTGGAAGCAATCATCACACAGGAATCCTGACGTGGGCTCCGGGACTATAGGACATTCCAGCTCGTGATCCAGCACGGTTAATTGTGAAAAGTGTATACATTTCTGGCTTATCTATGCTTTGTTATGGGTCTGACGTGAGCCCACGTCCTCCTCCCCCCTCCCGCAATATTACAGGCAGAATTTCAGCTAAAAGTCTTACAGTATCACGGTGCAGGAAGCCGTGATATTCAGACAGCAAAATAACCTTAGTCCCCGGCTGTAAAAAGCTAATTAAGCAGAAGAGGAAAATCAAGAGAAACTCGAAAAATGTAAGTATTCCCTCTCGTTAACAACCGAACGTTTAACTTTGGAGCCTCAGAAAGGGAAATACCAGGCTGTTCTGCACGTTTTCTCTAAGCTTCATTTTCCACACAATGCAGAATAAAACGCTAGTTTAAAACGGCTACGTTACCGAAGGATTTTCCATCGCTACGATCAGACTTACGTCCTTTAAATTCACGGTATGCACAAAAGAGCAACGTTTGTCCAAAACAGACTAAAAATATACGAAACGATAGGGGAAAAAACCGTACAAATCCTTCCTCGGAAGCTAGCGACGAGGAAGTCTGAGACGTCTGAGTGTGTTTGAGCTCGGATTGTTTAATAGAAAGATTTATATACTAACTGTATTATTTACTTTGGGAGGGGAGGTGGCAGTATAAGGGTATGCTAATTAGTGGGAGATTTTTTTGGGGGAAGGGGTGGAATATCAATTTTTATTGCATCACCTGTCAGGAGTGTCCAATCAGCGTTGGCTTTAGGGGAATTAATTGATGAAGGTGTCTCCGGACGAGCTCACTTCACTCTGTCATTTTATTTGTAGCTAAAGCAGCGGCGGGAATAGCAGCTGCATTTCTTTTCTCTTCCTCCCTTCACATTCCATTATCATAGTTTCCAATGGAAAAGCAGGGAATGAAAGGGAACAGGTACTGATCTTCAGCAGCAACTTAGAGAAACACTTTGGCAAACCTGATTTTTAAGATTATCTATTGATTGTAGCCTCACGGTATTTTTTTAATTTAATTTTTTTATTTTTTATTTTGTCTAAAGTTTGGCACTTCATTCACCAGGAATAACAGCCTTTGTTATATTTTATTAGCAGGATGCCTTGAGACAAATACAGCATCTGGCTGAGGATTGTGTGTGTGTGTCTTTTTTTTTTTTTTTTTTTTTTTTTTTTTTTTGTGCTTCATCTCTCTCTCTCTGCAAATGCTGGGAATAATTTAATTCACGAAATGGGAGACCTGAAGTCGGGTTTTGAAGAGGTGGATGGCGTGAGGCTCGGCTACCTCATCATTAAAGGAAAGCAAATGTTTGCACTCTCCCAGGTTTTTACAGACCTGCTAAAAAACATCCCGCGAACTACCGTGCACAAGCGAATGGATCATTTAAAAGTAAAAAAGCATCACTGCGACCTGGAGGAGTTGAGGAAACTCAAAGCCATCAACTCCATCGCTTTCCACGCCGCCAAATGCACCCTGATCTCCAGAGAGGACGTGGAAGCCCTTTACACATCCTGCAAAACCGAACGGGTCCTTAAGACGAAACGGAGGAAAATAAGCCGGGCTCTATCAACCGCCGACCTCCGGCCGGACCTCGCAGCCACCGACCCCTTCTCGGGCTTCTGGAAGGAGAACAAACTTTGGCTGGGTTTGAATGACTCTCCCCGGCCCTTGCTGCCCATCAGGAGGAAAGCCTTGCGCCCGGGGGACGCAGCCCTGCTACCGGCCTCTCATCTACCTCACATTTTTAGTAAATACACTGGCCACAGCTACCCAGAAATCGCTCGGGCGCCTTGCAAACCCCCCGTAAACTATGAAACA